GTCCGCTCGTCTCGATACCTACAACCAACGCCTGATCGGAACTGGATCAGAGCTGTCCGATCTAGAGAGAATTGCCAAATTGCTCAGTACACTTCCCAAACGTTTCGAAATCACAGTCTCTCACATTCAACGAATTCCCAATCTCGACTACCAGACTGCTCTACAGCAACTCCTCGACTTTGAAAATCAATTACCGGTCGGAGCTGCGAATGGCTCTGGATCAGCCCTAATTACTCAAACCCGGCCTCGAAGACCATTCCAATTACGACGAGGAAGAGGTTATCGATACAGACCCTCTGAGTCATACCGTCGAGAACATCGAGTCGAAAATCCTCGGCAGACGGTATACTGCTACCACTGTGGACGAAGAGGTCACACTAAGTCAAAGTGCTGGGAACTTCAACGACGTGAAGAGGAAGACAAACAAAACCAAGCACGGCTATCCCGAATACCTCGCGGCACAAATTACACGGCAGAGGATGGAGCGACTACATCAGCAAACCCAACTCAACCACCATCCCGATCCGATACGAACTATATGGAAGACGGGTTTGCTCATATGGCAAGCCATGGTACATCATCCACAAATGAATGGATACTCGATTCTGGAGCCAGTCATACAATGACTCACACAAAGTCGAACCTCACGCACTTCAAACGATTTCACCAACCACGTCAGGTCACGATTGGCGACGGATCGTACGTGAAAGCACTCGGAAGTGGCATCCTTCACGTTCGGACAAACTTGGCTTCCATTGATCTGAAGGAAGTCTGGTGGGTACCTCAGCTCAACACCAACCTGATATCCGTGCGTGCCTTGGACGACATGGGACTAGAAGTCATCTTTGCTGGTGGCCAATGCAAGATACGACGCGACGGAAGGCTTCTTGCCACCGCAAGCCAAATTCGATCGAATCTCTATCAACTTAACCTACCCGCATCTGCTTTCAATGCCAAATTCAACAATTACCATCCGATCACAATCTGGCACCAACGGCTTGGACACCTCAACCTTAAAGACGTGTCAAAGATTACCCGAATCCAACTGCCAAAACAATCATCTCGATGTGCCTCGTGCATAGCTGGAAAGCAGCACGCCGTGTTTAACCGAAACCCTCAAGAAAGAGCCACGAAGCCATTTGAATTCATCCACTCTGACCTCAGTGGTTTGCTGCCTACATCTTTAGGCGGATATCGATACTTTCTTGTTTTTGTGGACGATTTCTCACGATACACCCACACCTACTTTCTGAAGGGCAAAAGCATGACCGAAACCATTGAAGCCTTTCGTGCCTATCACACCTGGATCAAGACTCAGTTCGGTGCGACCGTGCGCAGAATCCGCACTGACAACGGCACTGGAGAATTTGCCAATCAGTATTGGCACGACTATATGATCAGCGAAGGCATTCAACACGAATTCAGCCCTCCAAATACTCCACACATGAACGGCGTGAGCGAAAGAACAATTCGAACACTCAAAGAGATGGCGAGGACTATGCTTGCAGGAGCGAACCTGCAAAATCGCGAAGAATTCTGGGGCGAAGCGGTGGCGACTGCCACGTACACACGCAATTTATCCCCCTCCCATGCATTCAATGGTAAGGTACCGCTGATTGGCCTTTACCCAAATTTGACCCCTAGGTATGATCATCTCAAGCCCTTTGGCTGCTTGGCCTACGTTCTTGTTCCACCCGCGAAGCGTTCAACGTGGCAATCACGTACAAGAAGATCCCTGTTCATGGGCTACATTCATAACACCACAAAGGTTTGGAAGGTATATGACATTGAAATAAAGCGAACGTTTAATTCTGGTCAAGTGATATTTGATGAAGAACAATTTCCAGGAATCCCTGTTGAATCTCAAACCCTGCAATGCCATCCATCCTGGCAAGTTGAAAGTCCACGTGCTGTGGCCAATATTGTGCAAGCCAGTTTCCGAAACCTTCACATTGACGTCATTGAACAAGAACCGGAACTGCTGAATTTCAGGATCTGTGGGATTGAGCCACCACATGACTATCATTTAAATGACCCCATCATACCTCCACGCGCAACTGCTCTTGCCGCTCAGCGGAGTAGGGAGGATCTATCTAAGGGCGGCGCGGAGCCGCGCTCAGTGAAAAAGCCAGCTGGTAGGCTCCGAGTGGACGTAGCAGGCGATCCACTGGATTTTCACACTGCGATGCAGGTGGATCCCGTCAATTGGTCTCGTGCCATACGCGATGAGTTTTCCGCGCACCAAAAGAATCAAACATATGAAATTATCCCCTTGCCCTTGGATAAGACTGCGATTGGCTGCAAATGGGTGTTCAAGACAAAGTACAATGCGCAAGGGGACATGCATTATAAAGCTCGCCTGGTTGCAAAAGGCTTTGAGCAAGAATATGGAATACATTATCGAGAGACATACGCACCTGTTGCAAGGTTGACATCCGTGAGGCTCCTGTTGGCCCTCGCTGCCTGGTTTCAGTGGGAGATAGAGCAGCTTGACGTGATCACTGCTTTCTTGAATCCTCACTTGTCAGAGGAGATATACATGGAGCCGCCAGAAGGCATGGAAATTGAAGCTGAAAAAGCTCTGCGTCTGCGTCGGACGCTCTACGGTTTGAAACAATCCCCTTATGAATGGTACTCTGATATACACAAGAAGCTGATGACTCTTGGATTCCGTCGGTCGACCGAGGATCCCAACATTTATGTTTCCACGCACGTTCAGTGCATTTTACTTCTCTACGTTGATGACATTCTTCTTGCTGGTCCACAAGAACACGTCTCGCAGATCAAACAGGATCTCATGAAACTGTATCACATGAAAGACCTTGGAAAAGTGTCCCTCTTTCTGGGCATGCAGATCGAACGAGATCCTCATCGAATTCGAATTCATCAAAAGCGTTATATTGACAAGCTATTGGAGCGTTTCAACATGTCAAGCAGTCACGGCATCATGACACCACTCTCCATCAAAACCGATCTTCATGAAGCTCGGGACCACGACAAGCTTCTAGAACACGACGACACAAAACAGTACCAAGCCATAGTGGGAGGTCTCATGTATCTCATGACGGCAACTCGTCCAGATCTTGCATTCACGCTGTCACGTCTCTCTAAATTCAATGCAAAGCCAACTACCAAGCACATGGAAGCTGCAAAGCATGCTCTGCGATATGTTAAATACACAAGCGAAATGGGTCTAGTCTACGGCGGAAGAGACACCGAGCTGTACGGTTACACCGATTCCGACTTCGCTGCGGACGTGGACAATCGAAGATCGACAAGTGGATATGTGTTCCTCCTCAACGGCGCCTGCGTTCATTGGCAATCGAAACAACAATCACTTATTGCTCGATCCACTCATCAAGCCGAATACATCGCAATGGCAAATGCGACCTATGAAACAAGCTATCTTCGTCGCTTGATTGCAGATATTCATCCGGACTGCCATCCGACTCATCCAACGACCCTTTATGCCGACAACCAAAGTGCGATCACAACAGCACAGTCAGGCCAAGACATTTCCCCTCGATCAAAACACATCGACATCAGATACCATATCACACGAGAAGCACTTTCCAACGGCATTCTTCGACTTGAATACATTCGTACAAGTGAAATGACGGCAGATATTCTGACCAAGGCCCTTCCTCGTGAACTGCATGAGAAACATATTTCATCAATGGGCCTACGGAAAGGATTTGCCTGAGGGCGAGCACTCTTTTTGTCCTGAGACCGGTGATTTTACTCTCGATGAGAGATGTTTTTCACACGATCAAGGTTTTTAATGAGGCTCGCAAGGGAAGCCAGACTACGAGTGGGAGATCCTGTCTATTTGACGAGTAGCGCGTAGTCAGGCTGAGTGGGAGTGTTGGATCCCCTGTACTGATGGTATTGTCCTGTCACCCTGATACGCACTACTCATGCATTAGGGTTAGACCTGTATCTATAATACTGGGTCATGACCCACAGAACTCTATAACAATACAACTATCATACACATGCTACAAGAGCATGGAGTGGTATCTTACCACTAGCAAGCGATTGGTTACCCAGGAACCCACATTTCCTTATGTTTTGTATGGTAAACTATTTCAAATGGCAATCTCGGTATAATAACCACCGAGTATGGTCACTTTCCGAGGGTATTTCAACCTGCCCTCGACCGCATGTTTTCTAATTAATCAATCATTCTTTTTATCCTGAATTGGTTCCGCTTGATCTCATTCGTCCTAAACGCATACTAGTCCATACAGTTTTAGCTTGTTCTGACAGAGTGGTATGGTGCGAGCAGACTAAGCTCTAAACAATAGTACTTAATGAGCGCAACAAATCCTGTAACCCCTAGAAGCCCTCGACGAGGTCTAACCGAAATGACATTGGTGAGAAAACTTATGCGGCTAAACGATTTGGCTAACCGTTGATACTATGGCGCATGATGTGAATACAGTTGAAGCTACTTATCAGCTAAGGTTGATGTTTTCGAGTAATTTGGTGATCCTAGTGCCTCCCGCAATTTAGTATAGAGGCTAGGGCATCATTATAACAGTGACTTATAAAAAAAACATATATATGAAGCCAACCACCTTTGTGAGCCCCTCCTTTCTGTTCGAATACCTTGGAGTCCTACATCCTTCACACTGGTCACCCGAAACACGCTACCCTTTGGATACTAGTCTGGTTTTGCCTGTGGTTACGGTAAGAGCTTGATACTACACAAACCACATTCCCTCGCGACATCTCTAATAGTGTGGGCAGGACATAGCCAGGAAGCCCGTGTCTTCGGATAGGTGGATAAAATCTAACCTGGTTCAATGTCATGCCTACTAAAGTTTTAACAGCTATCGAGACTTCGAGACCAGTGCCTCAGGCACGAAACCAGTAAGTTAGCTTGATCAAATCTACTACATTGCTATGTTTATAAGCTGATGATTTCAAGTATCGAGGGCTTTGCATGTGATATGATTACGAGCCACACTATTACCGGCCCATGTGTCGGAGACAAAATGGCGACCGCTCAAAGCGTGAAGACAACCGCAACGCTCGCCTGGAACAATGCCGCCGTGCCGTTAACTTTGATAATTCCAACATTCACGCTGCCAACTGGGAGTACGGTGGAGGCTGTCACAGCAGCTCACATTCCTGCCCCTACACGACTCGAACCTACCATACCGGTTGAAGGATCTGGAAATGTGGCATGGTCATCGACCACTCGATGGCTGGCTTTATGCTATCTGCTCCTACTAGCAATCAAAATGACTGATGAAAGTTTATGATGCATGTTCAGTTGTTCAACATCCTCTGCAGAATAGAGCCGTAGCGGTGAGTATCGTTGCTGCGATTGAAGAAACGGATACCTTGTCACATAATCTGAAAAAAGGATTGGTTACACCAGAACCCACTATATTCTTTGAATGTTGTATGGTAAATAAAGTCAGATTGGCAATCCCGGTGTTCTAACCACCGAGAATCAGCACATTTGAGGGGTATTTCAACCTACCCTGGATCGCATGGTTATTCTCTTCAATCAATCAATCAATCTTTTCATCCTGAATTGGTTCCGCATGAGCTCAGAGTCAATGAGGCTCTCGTCGCTAAATCTCAGCTTCTAATTGGGAACATACTGCCAGTCTTTATGCCATATTACTGGATTTTCATCACAGAGTAGTCTACACCTCAAAACATTGAAATTCAATACTATCATCGGTGACTTTTCTAAAATGGAAGATCTACCTCCCCATACTATGTAGGTGAGGACGAAAGAATTTGACTGACAGCCAAGAAACTCCCATGTCGCATCGATCCTAGAATTGCCAGTGTGGTCTTTGCTATGGTGGCTCCACTGAGTCACTTTATTGCCCGAGTGCGTCGAATTTCTCCGCGACTAGTCAAGTCCATTAACCTTTTTTTGATTCCCATTTTTTATCGTGGTGATTTTCGTGTTTGTTCAGAGCGCTGCTCCGTGCGAGGAAGTGAAGAACTGTGAGTGATTTCGGAATGAGGCATAAAGGGGCTTGTAGCGTGAAGCTAGTGGAAGTGTTACAGCATGTCCCCGCAAATAGTGTAGAAAGAGCAAAATAGGGCCGGCTCAAGATATCCGTCTATATCCCTAAGAGACAGATCAATTTCTGGTTGATTTGACCTCAATTAAGGCAACCCCTAGCAAAAGAAAAAATGGAGATTCAAGGAGAGAACCTCATAACATGCTGAAAGTAGGCGTGTCGAGATAGATTGGACATCATGGACTACCTTCTGATGTAAGATGACGGTACCGCATCTCTCAAGCATCAACCAACGGTAACGGAGGCCCAAATCAAAGGGTGTTCACCGTAACCTGCTATAATTGCGGCATTTCACCATCATAGTCGCGAAGATCTAATGTTATTATGTCGCTATTGAGAGACTGTCGTTGCGAGGACGAAAAGTATGCGTTGAAGAAATCCTTGGAGTTATAAAAAGTCTTAGTCCCCTTGAGAATCGTCACTGTGCCTTTTGACACCGCAAAGCCCATACAGCATTATGAAAGGCAATCAGGTCAAACCCAGCCGACCCCCTACTATGTGGCTGGATGAATCGGCTTTCTGTCATGAGCAGCTGAGTTCAAAATCAACTGCCTCTCCGGGTATCCAACCTTCGACGATCCAGACAATGACCACCGCCGCAATCGCCCCCGGTTCAACGAAGCCACGCCCGGGTGGCCCAAATGCAAGCATCCCACAACTGAACCAGAACCCATGGGATATTTTCGAGCCTGCTGCTGGATCATCGCAAGATCGCTCTTTGATATTTGCCCGACACAAGACGAAAAGAGGAATATTGGTGCATATCCAACGACTTGAACAACAGTTCTCTCCCACCACAGGTTTCTAAGAACTGATGGAAGGAATTTCTCATCCAAGCTTCTTGAACTTGCTCGAAGTTTACCATCATGACGCATCGTGCACGTTGATCTGGGAGCCAACAGAGGTGTCAGTCAGCCACATTTTAGCCTCCAGCTGCTCGATCACCACCGACGAACTCGTTGGAATTGTCAAGCCGGTGAGTCAAATATAATCACCTTGCAGGTGCACTCGAAACTAAATTAGAATAGGTATTAGAAGGAGTCCAATATCTGCGCGGGCTCGGCAGAGCACTCGCTACCCTAGGCCAGGAAACAATCCTGCTTACGCAGTCTGGTGATGTCAAGATTAGTGAGGTATCCGCTGATATGGTGAAAATAGATAAAAAACTAACATTCAATAGTGGGCGTCGAGAATAGCTGCGACATTAAAGAGTCGGAAATGAATCCTGCGACGATGAAATTATGCGCTCTAGCTGATGTTGTCACCAAATTGATGTTGAAGAATCGTACCTACGAGTGGGAAACGGAGATTCAAAACTTGCCTTGCCAACTGGAAAGTATCTCCGTCGAGGAAATATTGCAGGTAAGTTCATTCCGTCTCATCATGTTCTCGGCTAATGTGACAGAATGAGATGTTTACACGAGGTTCATGTGAAGGAGAGTTGAAATTGTTGGTCAGGGTAGCCAACAAGACTGCCTATCATGGTATCAAATCTTACTATGCTCGTTGCTGAAGGTCCAACTCATTGGTTTTCACTTGGCTCTTTGCTTGGATGCCTACCAAGTCGAGAAAGATCTCGCGATCCTATATTTCATCTTTGCTGTTCGGACACTATATGATTGGTATATAAGGAAAGCCAGAAGCGGTAGTTTGATATATGAAGAAGCATGGTTCCGCCGGTGGTAGTTCACAAACGCTTTTTCAACCGAAACCCTTATAGTAGATTCGGGCTAGCTCCTCGACTACACTCAACTTGTGACCTGTTGTTATAATCAATTGATACTTATATGAGCCACCAGTATTTTCAGTTTCGTTACGTTCGTTTTTCGCCTATTGGGATTAGACTTTACTGTATGTAACACAAGGACTGCGGTGCTTCTGTTTCTTTTTTGGACATGATCATACATACCAGCTGGGCAAAATACTGTCATAATTTCGCACGGTCCCTTGCTGGAACTAGAATATCAAGACCAACTTTCAATAATCAATAAAGATAAGTGGAACAATGTAGATTAGGATTACGACGGTAGTTACTTGTGGGGATTGTCGCTTTGCAGGGAATCTTGATTGAGCCAGATGAGTCTGAACGCTCCATTATATGTACCTTAGGGCTGCAGGACCCCATTTCACGTTCAGATATGTATACGAGTTTAATCACCCTGGCAGCCACACGAACAGGACATCGAGTTGGAACTTCCAGTAGTGGAATCATTCTCCCTGGTGTCGACTGTATCGGTGACTGGAATGGGACCAAATGTAGGATTTCCGGTGCATACCGGTTCGCCTTCTTGCGGACGATATTTGCTGTCGCCATTATATTCAACAACGCTTCCAGGCCAGGGGAAGCGAATGTCTACATTTTCTCGGGTAATGCAACCATTCACGTTGGCGATGAACATAGGAGGAAAAGCCAGCGATTGTTTGGGCGTGTTTTCGGACGATTTTGACATTGAGTCATTAGCCACACTGATGGGTGCGCAGTTCATATACATCTCACGATTGCCGACACGATTGAACCATGTCCACGCCAAGGTGTATTTCCCGGGTGCAATACCCTTAGGGATCGCGAAGTGGAGTTGGAGAGAATGGTCCGACTCGGCACTCCCATCAAGATTCCCGGGTACTTTTGCAGGGCATCCCCCTTCGTAGGACTTGATGACTTTCCATTCCGAACTCTTTGTCAGCTCGCGATCACTGGTGAGGCTCACCTGGCAAGACCCTCCACCATGGGTCCTGCTGCCCAGGAGCTTGATGGTATTGTTGTGCCCAGTCCAATAAATGGTTTCTTCTGTTGGAACGTGAAAGTCACCTGGTGATATTTTGCAAGGAAAGTCACTACCATCTGTAGCAAGTGGCGAGGCAAGTGGCGAGGCAAGTGACAAGGCAAGTGGCAAGTTATCAAGTCTTTTCCTACTAGGTCTGTAGGGCTCGGGAGAAGTCATTCTCAAGTGCGCATAGATTGGCGAAAATGCAGCTGCCTGCAAGCAGCCACCATTTCGCGAGTATCATAGCAGGAGGCGAGATAGTCTTCTGTGATGAAAGGTGGTTTCAGTATCATGTAGCTGAAGGGTATATTAGGATTGGCAGCACCTTTATATATCTCCGCTGCGCACATGAATTGGAAGGACGCCTGAACTGATGAGCCTGCCGCGGATATTTGAGTCCATCACAAAAGCACAGTGCAGCCTAGTTCTGCTGTCCTTTCGGCTCAAAGTGCGCCGCAGCAGATAAGAAGGCGACATTTGGTTTTTGAGACGCGTGGTTGTACCGGTTGACTGGAACAAGTGGTGAGCCCATCATTGTAATAAAAGGTTCTCACATTGCCTAAAGTGAAGTGGAGGTCCCCGTTCAACTGAGTTGCGACGATTCACCAGTTCTTGTATGATCTGCCATGAGTTCAACGATGGATTTTATGCTCTGGCTTTCTCTAACAATGCCAACGCTACCCACCTACTGCCATTGTGTTGAGTTCCCTTTGTCACAAATGCAGGGCTCGCTATGGACTACCATTTATCTATCAAGTCACTAACTTACTACCAATCTCAAAAATTAGTTGTCCGTTCGATTCCTCCTTGATTTGATCCTCCTACTGCTTGTCCGCTGTCGGTCAGAACCAGCAAAGAATCTCAATATGGTCGTTCAGCCAAGGCTGAAAACTAACCTAGCCGACGCAGTCAATCAAAAAGCGCGCAGGAGAAGAAACACCCTTTTAAAAAGGCCTCTGAGTATTGCTCTGAATGCGATGCCGACATCCATCTCGTTCTTCGGATGAAAAAATCCGGGAAGATCTTCGTTCTGACTTCAAACTCAAAAGATTGGCCTCTTTCCCAAAACCAATTAGTAAGTTCCTCTGGATTATCCATTTCGCCGCAAGCAAGGTATTAACTTGATTCCAAGAGGTCTTGTCATCCTACACCAATCCAAAGGTCTTTAGATGACCCAGAGTCCAAGCCGTAGAACTCTGTCAACAAGTTTCACCTTCAATTGGATGATTCTACGTACAAGGCGCCTCCTGAAAGTTTTCGTCGACAACCTTGCAACCTCGACGGCTTCCAAAGCTGTTTTTCTGTTATCTCTCCGAGGAAAGGCTTAAACTCTCACGGACTTCTGTCGTGCTCTAGCTTCACTTGGGAAGTGACTGAGAGCCGGGATGGGTCTCATGATAGCGCATGTTTCTCTAGACATCTCAGCTACAATTCCTCCGTCGACCAAGTTCTGATGCTTCATGTACATGTGCTGCAAAGATTTATGGTAAAATTAGTCCATCGCATTGTTTTATATGAAAATCATGTTGACTAAAGGGACATGCAATGGATTCGCCGTCTCAAAGAAAAAAACGCTCTAGGAATCAGTGGTATGTACTCCTCAGATTTTGGTATTCGCTACGCCTAACCATATAAAACTGTCTTTATTTAACCTATTGGTACCCATTCCCATATCCCAGGGTACCCGTAGTAGACAGAATTGCAGGGCCGTGGCCTGGCTGCTTGACCAGGATACCTCCAGTAGGCTGAAACAGGAAGGGATTGTGCCAAACATTGTTTGACGGCAAATATTGGTGCTAATAGTACAAGACTTGTTTAATGACATATTCCTTGTACCTTTTTGACTATCCTTTATATTTACCTTTTATTATATCCTAGTCTCCGAGTCTTTCATTGACCTATCGCGCCGACATATCGATGTCGACCATATTCAGTTAGAAAGCGCAGAGTCGCATTCCCTCCAAGAATATTCACCAATTACACCATCTAGACTATTGCCAAGTCAAGCGTCGTGGCCGAGCAGTCGCTAGCTAGCCCAGCGGTACCCGATCATAGCTGCCCGCCATGAAGCCGCAAGCCCGCTGCTCCGCTGCCGAGCAGCTCTTCCTTGGCGCGTTACTTAGACATCGAACTTTAGCGAGAATCTCGATAGACTCAGGTCTAGCGTAGGCAGGGAATCGGAGGATTCAGTTGAAGAGGTGCTTGGGTGACCCTCGGAGAGTGATCGCGTAGGAGAAGCGTCTCCAGGCGATTTGATGTTTTCGCTTGACGACTCGCGTAGCGGTCCGTGGTATCCGTGGGTGCAGCTTGGCCGCAAGGAAAGATGTGGTATCTCCGTTTGGGCAACTACAGGTTGCACTGTCACCTCCGGTGCAACAACTGAACTTGGAAAACTGATGTCCACGAGATTCTTATCGCTTGACTGACGCTGCTCCTCGGTTCCATACGGACGGAGGGAGAGGGGACCGTTCACCAGCGACTGGAAGCGGTTGAGCACGGAGACCTCCAATTTCAGCTTTATGCTGTACACCACCGTCTTGAAGCTCACTTGAATGTAGTGCAGCTTGTACTCCGTGAGGAGGAGCAGAACGTTCAGGATGACGACAATGGTATTGATACAAAGTAGATGGATGATCGCGTTGCGGCCGTCGCGACCGCGGACTTCAATGATAGACTTCAATGTACGCACTGCTTCGTATATGTAAATGCCGCAGATGACGAAATCTTGTATGCAGAAGCCCGTCAATTGGATTCGGTCGAAGATCGCGGCAGGGCGAGCGAAGCGTGCGTCGCCGTTGCTGAGGCCGAAAAAAAGGACGGTCATCGGAATATGTAGCACGCAAGCGTTGGTAATGATCATCCATAGGCCCATCGTACCTTTCTCACGTCGGAGACAACGAGATTCAGACGCGAGTAGAGTACGACGGCTTGGCCGGTAACCATGGCATACCATCCGATTATGAAGGGGATTGACGTCGGGAGGCTGGATGCTTGAGAAATGAAACGAGCCATGGCTTTTGTATGGTATGCTTGGTACCAGTTGTCACATGATTTTATGGGTATTATACCTTGTTTCCACCATGTATTCAATATTAGTATTCGACATATAGAAAACACTCTCTTAAGTACTCAATTGGCTATGCCCGTACTAGTCCTAACTAACGACCACGTTCCGACAGCACAAGCATACCTCAAATTTCAGGAGGTAAAAATTTGAAGAACGGACGTCTTGAAGGGCTCTGGATTCCGGGAGAGTTAGTCGCCAGATTGGGAATTAAAAATTCCTATAAAATCCTAAAATTAGCGAGCATTAGGCTAAAATCAATCAACAGATATGAGGTATAATGTGATTGTTGATCTTTGAGCATTCTCAGTCCCAAGGTGGCAGGTGTCTCTGGTGCAATGTAATCGTTGGGTCCACTCATAACGCATGTCCTCATCGAGAGGACCACTGAGTCCGGTACGACCATTCAGCCTGGGAAGGCGATGAGTTGCAAAATATTATTTCCGACATCGCCGTATGTTGAGGTTCGGTATTATAGTCAAAGGCAAACAAAAAAAACACAATACTGTTTTTTATTAATCCGAGTTTGAACTATCGGTATCTATCTCGACATAATCTACCTCCATGTCTGAATCCTCCTCCATGTCTGAATCCTCCTCCATGTCTGAATCCTCCTCCATGTCTGAATCCTCCTCCATGTCCGAATCCTCCTCCGTGTCCGAATTCACCTCCATGTCCATGTCCCACAAATTACGCCCGACGCCCAAGGTAACCTCCTGTGGACAGACACACAACATCTCATGTGCGCCATCAATCCGATTGAGCCATTCGTCGCGCTGATCGCGAGATATGACCCGAAAATGTCCGCTGGATTGCTCACAATTACGGCCCATAAGGATCTGAGTCCGCTCAAACCGAGTACCATGCGAAAAGTCACCATGTGCAATGACCAAGAGATTATGAAGACCATGTGGACCAAATGCCCAGTTCGCAAACTCAAACAGAGCGTTGGTGTATGGCACACATCCAGGTTCCCTAAAATGGAAAAGCTTAATTGTTTGAGCCGCGATGCTTCTTTCAGGCCTCGGTATCTGAAAAGAAGGCTGTGTTAGAATAGACAAACAATATAATGTAACCTAGGGAAAGCAAGCCGTACCAAAAGAGAAGGAGACAAGAAGAATCCAATGCACTCCAAATCCATTCCCTCAACTATGCGGTTGATGAAAAGTTTCCATGCAAGCGGGCCTTCACTTTCCCTGTGAACCTCATTCCCCTCTTCGTGATATACCAACCGTCTTAGTGTGTCTCGATGGTGGCAGATAGGGTCAGTGATAGGGTTTACCGGGTGGAACGTGTTTGAAATTGAAATCGACAGTTCTTCAAGGCCCTGAAAAGACAGCAGGAACGATTCGATCGGATGTGGTTTGTTGTCTTCGTAATAAGTTTGAAGATACGCTTCCTCGTCGATGGCAACCTCAAACGACCGTAGTTTGATGATGAGAGACGATTCCGTAAGTCCCTCAAGAAACTCCAGTGTTTGGTCACAATCACGCAATCTCAATGACTGCAATTGCTCTATGCAAAATGTAGTTGCCATTCGTGCACATGGCGCAGCGAGCGCAACTTTAGTCAAAGACAGATGTCGGAGATTATTGAAATGGAATGCATCCCTAAGTACATCAGTGTCGCCAATGATTTCTTCAACGTGCACGTAAGCTTCTCCACACCCGATCGGCTCCAGTTCTAGACATTCGAGATGTGCACAATTCGCCATCAGGGTGTGACGAAGAAGTATTTGGCTATGATTGGGATTTAGACCTTTCCACGACAAACGTCGCAGGTGCCGGAGGTCAGAGAGACCCTCGAGATGCTCCCATTCCGGACTTGGACATGACCCGTCAGTAGTCAGTGACAGATCTTGGATTGCATTCTGGTCGAAATTCAGAAAACCTTCTTCACCAAAGATTTGGTCAGGAACGCAGCATCCCAGATTCCAACTATGGATTATTAGCACGACAGTTATTGTGTTGAACGAGTGGTGACAAAGAGCATACGAAAAGCCTCTCAAAGTATTTTTTGGGATATGAGAGAGAAGTTCTTTCACGACATTGGCAAGATTAGTCATCATCACGTCATGAGGACGTCGTCTGTTTTTCTCTTCTTCCCACACGTCAAATTCTTCCTCGTCGCCGAGAGAGTCATCATATTCGACTGGTAGGAGTGGGACTTCGCCCCGGTAGCACCTGTTCCTTCTGAGGTCATTTAATGGAGCGACCAGTTGCACATTTTTCAAGAATTCAAGGCTATTGAAGGTATCTCTGGATCCGTCTTCCTTGAAATAGGTTTTCATGGGACTAATCGTCACCTGGTCTAAGTGATGCTCGGGTACTGAAATGACCACTTTGGCGCAGAGAAAGGGCAAAATGATCCGATGCAGCTGTTTAGATACCTCAGACAAAAGCACGAGGTCCTTGGTGCTTGGCACCTGTTAACTGTCAGATATGTCAGACCTTGCGAAGGGTTTCAAGATCTTACATGGTGCACAACCATTTGCAAAATTTCTAGGGGGAGTCTGTCCAGCATTTTGGCAATAATAACAGATAGACGTTGGCCTGATATTTTTTGGGGTTTGACAAGCGTTGGGGGATGGTATAATTGTTTTTAGGCGCCTTTCACGTCGCCCATGACCCCCTGAACCCTATCCTCGTTCAGCCTAGTGTTGAAATATTTCAATGGGGCTACGTGCTACAAAAGGACTGTGCAGGAGAGCATCCAATAGGAATTTCTGACGGAAGCTGTAGGTAGGCCATCGCAGGTAGTTTTGAAACTGTGTCTAGAGAACCTGCCAATAGTTTTCTTACTGTTGTGGTTTCAAATCTACCAGTAGTTTTGGAACTGTGTGTTGTCATACATCTGGCTAATGGTTTGACAAATAAGGCTTAAGGTGGCCCATAAATGAACGCTACCTATCAACATTCACTCTATACCCATTCATGGAAACTGGCTATTGAATTTTGGTCGTTCATGTTCGCGCTCTGAATGCGTTGACACTATTAGGTTGTTATCATGCAATCAAGCCAAATTAAGGGGAAAATGGGCTCCCTTCGTTAGAATTGTGCCCTTGCTGGGTATCCTGAGAAAAGTTTATCTTGCCATTCCATTTATCGAGGCTTCATGAACGATTTAGATGCTGTATCAGAAGAAAATTACGGAGAAGTCACGTAAAAAAAAACCTCTTGCCTGCCTTCTCTGTTTTGCGGGAACCCTCAGTCCTGCACGGGCCTTCACTAGCCTTGACTCATGACTCATCTGTGTCCATCCTCCCCCTCTCAGCCCCCACCCACTCCTAACCAAACTCTGGCATTCCATTCCACAAACTGCGGTTTATGACATTTTTGTTTTCCCTGTACTCCCTGCGAGTTAACCAACCAGCCATTTTGCATCAATAATCCAATTGTTACAAAGTTCATTATGGAACAGCATCGAGCAAGTAGGACTGACTCCTCTCTCCCACGACGATTACACGGTCGGATATGCATGTCAACTAGTGGCACTAGACACGGTGGGAAATTAATACCAATGGAATGACGTGCTACAGTTGGACTTTCTTTACAAAGGTCGTCGCTTTCTATCAAGTTCCGGATGGTTTCTTCAGATTTCCAGCCAGCTCCTTTGAAATACTGGGTGCGTGGTGGGCAACGTCTCACGGACGTAGCGCGAGCCCTTTCTTTGCAGTCCCACCCACATGACAGATGTATCAATTTCATTGTTTCAATTCTGCGTCATTTCTTGTCCCCTGTTAATCACTCAGTGAAGTTTGCATACAGCCTCCATTTCGATTGAGCTGGTCAAATGCAAACACCGGATTTCTCTCCATTGGTTCAGCTATAATCAGGCAATACCCTCAACTTCAGACCTACCAGGTGTAGAAGCATTTGATGAGGAGCCGCTCGAAATACAATTTGTTGGCTCTATAAACATCTTGATGCGATAGACTCTGCTCCTTGCGCAGTCAAATCTATCGCTTCAGTCGGCGATTGCAATGCACCCAAACCCATTCTACATTAGGATACCTACATTCTAGAGCGATCGCAAGTGAAAGTAGCTTTGCCACCAAAACAACCAGGTTATTGCGAGCCTTGGACAGAATGCAGGCATGCAATCAAGGGTCTCCGATCGGATTTTTCTACATATGGGAGCCGCCGCAACCTTGTGAATAATCCCGTCGGTAACTACGATCTATATCGCCTGCCCATCTCCCATTTATCAGCATCCACTATTGCGCTCAAAGCAACGGCCATTGTTTTTTGGGGCTAGTACCCGACTTCATGCGATCAAGCATGCTGTGCTACCGAGAACACACCGTTAAAGCCGATCGGGGTCTAGCAAGCGCCATCTTGAACAGACCTGGTAAAGAAATCTCCGCCATCATTTACGACGGACCGTCGCGGGGTCATATCCGCGCAAGTGGTACTTTAGTTGGCCTGTAATCGCAGCAGGCATGGCCCTAAACCATTCCTCCAAAGGCAAACATGGCATGAGCGCTGATTAGGGGTAGAAATTTCAGTATAGGTTGTCGTAGATAGTCAAAGAGGTCGCACAGCAGGATGGCTCTTGGTGGGGCTGTTACGTACATCAATGCCACCTTCACAAAGGATCTGCTTAAACAGTGATATGCCAAATGTCGCCCAGGGCGCGGTGAGTTTGACAAATATATACTTGATGCTCAAGGACAGTCGACGTAGGGGATGTAGAGAACTCGGCAATTTCCTGGCAAGGAGCTGCTTGCGCGCGATATGTTAGAAAACGATTTCAGTGAGAAAATGATACACGCGTTCGGCTTGACTAACCTGCAGATGCAGTGACATCTGGGGCAAATGGTCTTTGCACATGTTGCTCGGGCTTGGATAGAAAAAAGCGTGCTTAGGCATCAAGTCTACCAGAATCTGTCCAAAGACACCACAGCATTTATGACACCGCCCTCGATGAAGCGTCGGGTATGTCCGATTGGTCCCTTCCCGCTCGCTCGTATACGTCGAACGGCTCAGCAGCGCGGAGTAGGATCTGTCAGGATGAGGAATTGATGTACTGGCTAGTACTGAACATGTCCAATAGAATCAGATGATTGATTGTGTGTTCAAGGTCGGTTGAACGATCTCAGGGGTCTATACAAATAAGCTTCGGCGTGTTACAACACCGTACTTCCGAATCTGCCCGGAATACCGTACAAATACTAGGGGAATTGGGTGAACGATGAATAAGCCTGTCCCAAAGGGTCCTAGTCGTATTTGACCACTCCCTCAGTTCGTCAGGATCAGGTAGGACCGTATCGGTCGGTGATTCTTAGCTTGTGGGTTTTTAGTTGGCTTGGCTGTGCCTCGGGACCAGACCGTCCCCTTTTCTCGGTTCGTAGCTGATATGGCCAACGTTATTGCCTCACCTTCTCCTTGCCCGCAGACCTGGACTAACAATCTGGCCGTCTGCGAATTTATGGCTCACCTGTCATGAAGCAAGACAAAACCACCAGCATTCCTCGGGTCTTTTGGAGTTCCAGGACTGAAAGGACGCGAGATGCGAACCGAGGACAGTGAGAATCACCCCTTGGACCCCAGAAATTCAATCCACAAGGAGGCTATTCTTTCACGGTGTTCGAATGCCGAGACACACGGTGGTATAAGCCCATTGTGGCTTGGGCTTTGTATCGGGTAGACACATCAGCACATGACCTGATGCACAGAGTCGACTGAGAGAAGGGCCAAGGTCGGCGATCTGAACTTTAGACCCCTTGTGCTCAATGTACATGTATCCATGTATAAAGTACCTACCAGCCAGTTATGGTAAATATATTTACAGCACGTGCTCTGCCGATCATTCAAGGGTAAATTGAGCAATATTACTGGCGGGTGGTCCTTCCAGCAATGAGCTGTGTTTGAATGGCATTGTTTTTACATGGTATGCGGCTGTATTTTATTGTGTCGGCGTCACATCATGCCTTACATTCCATACCGCCCCAGTATAAATCACACAAGTGATGGCTGTTTGAATCATGTTGATAAGTAAATTTAGTTATAACTTTGGACTATATAATTGGAATATATAATAGACACTAGTAGCCGTAGTTTCGATGCACTATGAGAGTAACCACTTACCAACTAAGCCACAGCATCCATACATGGGTCGGTCCCCTTGAGCCGCAAGAGACCGAAGATGAGATCATCAACATAAAATTAAATGTTTTAGGCAACACCCAACTGATTCAAGTGACAGATCCCCGCGGTCCAGCCAATGGATTCCATTGGAAAAACTTATATATCATATAGCATGGACACGATGCTGAATATGAAATGTTCCCTGGTTGAACGGAATGAAAAGAAGAACAAGATAAACATATGTATATATATGTATGTTGTATACTCCGTCTTATGTTGAGTTATATAAAATAAAGCGCAAGGGATCGAAATCTGATACAATTCTCCATACATTGTATGTAAATTTACATTTCGCTTTCGCTTTTGTTTTCCCCACTATACCTGCACGGTTCTCGGTAACACGGGAATTGCCTTTTTCAAATCTTTCTCCATAATTCATTTCGCTTGTTTACCAATCAAGTTATTCGGCCAATATATTTGAAGAATTTATTCGTAGTTCGACCATATCGGGAGATTTTTTTGAAGAAAAAAGAAAGAGAAAAAAGAAAAAAGAAAACGCCTCTTACCACAAAAGTGGCCCCCCTGTTCTTCCTGTCCTTATCAGTTTCTCCCAGGTGGCAACAAGCTTTCCTCCTGATCACGACTCTTAATATCATCCACATTCAATGGCCCCCCTTTTTTTGCTAAAAGTCCACTGTGGCTCAGTGACGGTTTTGTGGGCATCTCTTTTATGTCTTTCATTGGAGGGCTTCATTGACCGTGCCATCCTTACTATTACTTCCCATTCTCCCCTCCCTTATAACATCGTCATCTCCCCTCCTTTCACCCCTCGTCTCTACAATTATACATAGTTTCTCCTAATCCCTTATAAAAACCTTGGAAGGAAATATACTCCTTTATTATTTTTGCAAATTGTCTTGGACTTATACTTTATCTACCTTCACCCTTTTGACTAGTCCGATCTTCCGTTTCTGGCGTACTTCATTTCAACACCGATCTAGTTATTTGCGCATTCCTTCAGGAAATTCCTTATAGACCCTTTCACTTGAGGCTTCGCACAATCTCAAACTTTCCAAGACTGCGTAGTACGAGATCCGAACGCTCCCCAATTTCGATAATCCACGTTTCGAAACGAATACCAGACAGCACATCCCATCCAACCCTACTGGCAGTGTTACCGGCCAAATTTTGTTTCTTGCCTTCACTCTCCCGGGTCAAGCGAAGCATTGATAAAATAAATAATGTTCAACAGCCGGTGAGTTTTTTACGCTTAATCCATCAATAGTATAATGGTTTGATCTCTAACTTTATATTCTTTCTGCTCAACAGGAACAACGCCCAGAAGCCGGATGGTGAGTTCATCAGTCGCTTCCAGCAAGCATTCTCAGATATTGTCCCTCGGCGCAGCGAGAGCCCGCGCAATGTGAGGGGTGAACCTTCGATAGCCCCAAGGTATGTACATCATGTATCCAGGGGAAAGGCAGGGATTAGAACTGATAAAACATTTCTTGCTCATAGAATGGCCGAGAACAACGATGTGAAAATGGAGAATCATGATCTCAAGTTCCCCATCACCAACGTCCGCACTCCCCGAAATATGCAAGACCTGGGGTTGACGCCCTCATGGATGGAATCCGCTTCATATTCAATGATGCCTCTTGTCAACCAGCATTCAGGCTTTTATACTGCAACTTCTTCTGGAATGGGTGCAGTGTTCCATAATAAGGCTGGCAATTTGCATACTCCAACAGGGATGCACTTGATGACCCCGCTGGCGGACATGCCAGCTATACAAAACCACCATAGCAATGGCTTTGAGCCCATCCACCCGCAGTTCATAAATCCAGTCCATGACGTGAACCAATACACACAGCAACCGTCATATGCACTAAGCGCATTCATGCACCGCAACACCGGATATGACGCCATGGATGATACTCCCGATGACTCTGCTCTAAATGATGTAAATGTCGAAACAGCATCCAACGTGACGGCCTCGACGGAATTTTCGGCTCAAATTGGTGGTGACATGTCCTATGCCAAGGGCGAACAGTGAGTTAAATGATTTGATAAAAAGTGAATATCTGTTCAATGCTAACCGCGTTCTATCACATTCTAGATTCCGCTTCAATGTTTCTCTACGGGCACCAACCGCCATGGTGAAGAACCTGAGTGAAATTCCTGTAACCTATCTCAATAAGGGCCAAGCATACAATATCTCAGTTATCGATATGAGCCCACCAATGGTCAACCACGAACCGATTCGATATAGAACATTTGTCCGCGTTTCCTTCGAAGAGCGAGAACAACGAACGAAACCGTCAACATGTTGGCAACTATGGAAGGAAGGCCGAGGTACCACAGAAGCCCATCAACGGGGCGGAAAATTATTAGCTGTTGAATATGTGGATCCATTACAAGGTGGCAGTGATGCACACAGGAATCGACGGGTGCAAGTCGAGAGTATGTCAGTCGACGGCTTCTGCGTCACGTGGACCGCCAACCCAGCGACCGGCGTATCGTATTGCAACATTCCTGTTCGGTTCAATTTCCTTTCCACGGATTTCAGCCACTCAAAAGGTGTGAAGGGAATTCCTGTCAGACTGTGCGCCAAAACCGAGCTTTTATCTCCAGGTGAGGAGACAGGTGTATCGCGCGATACAGAGCTGTCTTACTGCAAAGTAAAGCTTTTCCGAGATCACGGCGCTGAGCGGAAGCTGTCCAATGACGTTGCGCATGTCAAGAAGACCATCGATAAACTTAAGCAGCAAGTCTCCCAGGCAGAAATGGGTGGTGGATTTGCGAAGCGCAAGCGTGGAAACAATGTTTCTGCTACCGCAAAGGGATCCGACAATCCTATGAAGCCTTCGAGCCACAAGCGAACTTGGTCGATAGACTCGGAAGATGCTCCTCCAGAGAAAGTCTCCTTGGAGGATGATCTTCAAGCCAAGTTGTCTATGATGCAAGATATGTTCTCATCTACTCGCGCAGTGAGCAATTTCGGCTTGCGCGGTGAAAAAATCGATGATCCCGACCTATATCCCATTCGGCTATCAAGTGATGGCGATTCCCCCCAGTATGGGAATATGAGCCGTTCAAGCACACGTGAATTGGAGTCAATGATGCCTTCGCCGCCCAACAGCAATACCTCTTCTTCGAATTCGCCGCCTACCCAAGCACTCAGATTAGAAGATCGCCCGACCACCATCCAGAGAATTCCTTCTGGCGACCAGGTCTCAAGAGGATTCATAGAGGCCATGGGTGTAGACTCAACCTACCGACCTCCGGCGGAACGCCCTCCCAAGCCGAGTAAGCTTTTTTCGAGCACAACCCGATCGTTATTATCCTTGCTAATTCTCTTCGCAGTTGCATGCTTTTATATTCGATTCACTGTAAATTCGAAGCGCTCAGAGGACTACTACCGTGCAATTTATTTGACAGAACGCACTGTTCGAGACCTCGTGAGGCAAATTTCTGAGAAATATCACATCGATCCGATGCGAATCTCAAATATCATGCATACCCATGAGAAAGACATGCGAGTCATAGTTGATGATGATGTGGTCCGCCATCTTCCAGAGGGTCAAGACATGATCGTCGACATCTCCGAAACACCAGGTCCCAATGGCAGTGCTTCTGGCACACCCGGGTCTCCCATGGAGATCAAATTAACCTATTAAAACCGCATCGCCTACATCTCAAGGCCATGCCCGGCCTCTCAAATTCGAACATAATGCAAAAGTAAATCTTCTTTTCAACTCGCCTCATCTCACCTCGCTGGCCACTGTGGTCTCTTCACTCTGGTCTGCAGCCTTCGGTATGTCATCGCCTGAGCCAGTCAAGGATTCTAACCTAATTTACGACTCAAAGCCATTCACTGGCCCCTCAAGCGTCGTAATGCTGGAAGACCGGCCCAGAAGCCCCACGGCGAAACTCACGCGGTTTGCACCCGACCGCCGAGATTGGGTGCTCTTCGACACCGCCCAAGAGAACGAATTTTTATCGTGGTGGCTGGAGACCGACTATGGACAACAGCTGACCCAAAATGGAAAATACAAATTCAGATGGTCGGTTGAATCGCGTTCCTCCAAGGTGTGGAAGCACTTTGACCAGGTGGCAGAGCTCAGGTCTGGTCGACCCAAGGTAGTTTGCCGGTCTTGCCTCACGCCGCTTAATCACCCACATCACCCACATCACAAATCCCATGGAACAAGCACAATGGGTAAGCACCTGAAATCCAACTCTTGTCGCAGAAGCAAGGAGACGGTGTCCCTTTCTGCTGTTACACCAGGCCCAATCCAGGCGGCCCGTGCGAGCTTCTCGCCCACGAGGAGCAGATTTACCAAGGCACAGCTCGAATATCAGCTTCTGCGGACAATCACGTCTGCAAACCTTTCTTTTGAGCTCACGGAAGAACCCACATTCCGAGAATTGTTGGATCTAGTCTATGCCGGACCTCAAGTTTTGGATATTCCCTCATCAAAGCAACTCCGCCAGCATATGCACGACATGGTAACCACCTACGAAGAGTCACAGCTGCAGGATCTGCCCGGCGATTCCAAAGTATCGCTTGCTTTGTGCTGTTGGAAAAGTCCACTCGGGCAGGATTTCATGGCTATTACTGCGTATTACTTTGACAAAAAGTGGAGCTACCGAGAGGTGCTGCTTGGATTCGAACTACTTTGCAGGCCCGAGACAGGGACTGACCCCGGTGATCAAATACTTGGACTGATCATGAATAAAGGGCTGCTTAGTCGGATATTCAGCGTGACAATCGACTATAGGGTCGACGAGAAACTGGTGCTATCATTACAAGAGAAACTCACTTCTTCTGGTGGTATCAGCTCTTGGCAGTGCTTTGTTGGGGTTCCTGGAACAGTGCAGGCCATTCAGCTCTGTCTTCGGCGGTATATCGAAAACATCACAAGCTCCCCAGAAGGGGAAAGGGTTGAGAATGTGCGAGCAATATCACACGTCAATGGTTGGACCGACCGATCAGATGGCAACGAAATAACGCATGTTTTGGAAAAGGTGAATGCTCTCCATCCTCTTGACTAGAAAAAAATCTGACCCTTGCATTTTGCAGATTCGATCATTTGCAAAATTTGTCAACGAGACCCCTCGGAAGCGCGACGAGTTCTTATGTCTCCAGCCTGCACGGATTCGTCTTTTGCCGTTAGATGATGAGAACACCCGATGGAACTCGGTCTTTCTGATGTTGAAGCGAGCCGGCAGACTGCGAAGATTTATCGACCAATACTGCCAAGAGAGCGAGAATTGTCCGTACAAATTAACGAATACGGATTGGCGCAAGGTCGACTACCTTGTGCAGCTGACAATGCCGTTCATCCATTTCACTACGGCCCTCCTGGCCTCGAAAGAGGTGACAGTCCACAAGGTCTGTTTCGTGTTCAAGATACTAATGGAGCATCTCGACGAGTCAATCCAGATATTGAGAAGAAAATCAGCTCCGTGGAAGCGCGAATTACTTGAGGCGTCGCTTATCATGAAGATGGAATTTGGAGAAGTCTACGAAAAGACATTTCAAAACTTTGGGGTCATGTATGGCCCTGGAACTTTCGTTGCTCCCCAATATAAGGTGTCCGCGTTCGACGAGGCCACATCATCGCAAGGCTTGGGCCGTTCCGAACGCTACATCGAGTACCTGAGGATCTTTCACCTACAGTACCGACCGGAAATGCCCACGAGCTTGTCTTGCGTGAATGGACTGTCTTGCTCTCCGCAGTTGTTGGGACTCGACCGGCTTCTGCACCCACTAGCTGGTCTGGTGGGTAGTTCAAGGAGTGGGCAAGATGAAGTTGATCAATATCTCCGCGAAGGTCTGAAAAACTGCTCAGTATTTTGTACGTTGACTACTGACACACAACAGGGGTTGTCAATATCTCGCCAAGCGCTTACTGGAAAGACCATCAACGCGAATGGCCTGTTCTCACTCGGCTGGCTCGAGATCTACTCTCCATTCCGGCTACAGGAGCTGGCGCGGAACGACTTTTCACCGTTGCACAAAATATATATTATACTCGTGGGGGATCTCTGGATGAGTCGGCCATGCGAGACCTGGTGATGTATGCGTACTCGGAGGGATCCGAATCAGGGAAGCAACTGATCAGCCAAGTGGAACGTGACACGGCAAGTGACGAAGAATGGGAGGAGTTCGAAGTAGAGGCAGAAAGGCCTGAACCGATCAGCGATGACGAGTGGGGTTCAGCCGAGATGAGTGTTGACGAGCGCTCTGAGGACGACGAAAACAGCCAGGCAGACACAGTGATTTTGGAAAGCCCACCGACAGATGATCTGGAGCAGGATCTGGCGGATAAAGGCGAAGACTCATTCCTGCTTCCGCCTGTCACGTGGCTCATCAATAGCATCCGAAGAAGATTCTCAGGCGGAGCGATAGTGACCTAGTAGCGTGCGTCATCAATTTTGTCCAGTAATAATCTGCTAGAATTTATCAAGCTGCCTAGCCTGCGAGAACAGCGCACACGTTAGAAATTGATTGTCGTTAATTTACAACAAGCCGCGCCCTCTCTAAAGGAGAAAATGTCGGATCAATTGATCCTGTGCAAACCGCATATGGACGACCCTTCAAGTCATAGTTATGAAATTTAGCGCTGCTAGCCTTGTTGCGAGTTCTGACAGAGGGGCGTTAGGATGCGATTGGTCGACACCCATCCCCATCACGGACCATCACGGACCATCACAGTTGCACACTAATGATAGCCTAATACCGAACCAAGCAGGGAGTCGACCTCTATAGCAGCCCTCATTCAGATCCTACATTACGGTTCTGATATGCGAGACAAAGCAACTGTCTCAGGCACGTTGGCGTAGGGAGGTTGACAAGGACTCTGATTTACTTGTAGCTCTCTTAGTGTGTATAACCATGTTCATTTGCCTTTACCACCATATATACTAGAAACATAGCGCTAGTAAGACTCGCTAATTTGATTGCTCCTCACAACGAAACCAGCCCACCAATAATTGGCGCTTAGATCCTTGGGCAATTGAAAGCCTGGCCGCGACCAACGAATAACAAAATTGTCAGTTCGAATACTCGTGAAGCTTAATCTCCGTATTGCTTTTGGTCACCAACCTGGGGCCGAGGTAGCTGCCGTTCACGTCAAGTCCCAGGGAAACGGGGCAGGCAATCGTCTGGCATGGAGCGCTTGAGGTTCATCTCTATGTTTCCAGTTGATGTAGCGTTCCTCCTGCCTCTTCCAGCCTTCCCTGAGTTTGCTTTCTGCCAAATTCTTGCTGCCACACAAACGAGTAAAGTCATCTCTGGGTATCCAGGAACAATTTCCTTGAAGTAATCCCTGATCTACCGTCATGATATTTCTCCACTTGATTTTAACCCAGACGCCTCTTCGTAGCTTATAGACTTTGTCTGGGGATTTTCTCTCCTCGAATGCAACTGCGCAAATTCCGAGAACATTATCTTTTGAATACCGCCAATGCCTTCCGCGGTCGTTGGAATCCCTCAGTTGAGTGATTCGAACATCAAAACTTGAAACATTTTCTCTATCGTTGATATCATGGCCGTCTGCATACTTTGCGCTGAACTTAGCCGCAAAGTCTGGACCGTACCGGAAGATAAATATCGGTGATCGCCGAAAAGTCCCAAAGCCGTCCACGATCCCATCATCGTCAGTACTGGCTTCACTATGCATGATAGGGTTCAAATCGGCGAGAAAATCCGGTTCCCTCGACATAAAACCACTGGCCATACTTGGGTTTAAATGACGTCGGGACAATGGTATGCTTGCTTCAACCGGTCTATGTGTGGTTGATCTTGGATGCCCGTTTCTTTCTGCATCGTACCAATCGTCCTCTTCTAGGATACCAGCGTATTGGCCGTCTGCGCCAAATCTGAGCAGAATACCCACAAGCTCTTTCTTGTCATTGACTGCGAGCCAAAGTGCTCTGTTCAGTTGCACCTGGGTAGCATGGGGGCATATACGCTGCAACAGTGCCTCCTTCGTTTGGCTTGCACCAATCACTATACATTCCAAGACCGAGAGGTTGAAGCTGTTTGTGGCTCGTATGTCAGCTCCGCGATCAACCAGGCAGTGGACGACTTCGTCTCGTCCAAGATGACACGCGTTCATGAGCGGAGTATACCCTAGGCGATCTGTATCGTCGATTCTAGCCCCAGCGCTAATAAGCATATTTGCAATAGTCGAAGACGAGGTCGTGATAGCATAGTCGAGTGGAGTGTTTTGAATGTCGTCATGCCGATTGACAAATTCCACCCGATCAAACTCAGGCATGTTTTGAACTATACTTCCAATTTCCTGGACAACGTTTTGAACACGTTTGAGGACAGAGATGTGTAAAGCTGTCATGTGGAGAATGTTCGTATCGAATAGTGCGTGAGGGCTTTTTCGCAAATACCGACAAGCCACTTCTTCAAATCCAAGCTCAACACAACTGTGCACGGCCGGCTGGTCATGTCTAGCTGATTCTAGGATGATATCTTGGAGCTGCTTTTTGGGCCAATGGCTATCTTCGAATAACGCCACAAGTGTCCCAAGATCTCTCAATATCGGCTGTTCGGATCTGGCGCAGATCGGAACGATGATTCGAAGCCATTTCTGTGGCCATTTTCCCTCGAACAATGTGACGACATGACCAAGGTTTCGTAGTGATGGTCTTGCCT